TAAAATTTATAAAAATCTTAAACATATAAAGTCAAAACCCAAAACCATACGTAGATCTAGTCGATCAATTACATTCATTTCTGATTTAATCTATCTGGATTATTATAAAATTAATTCGGGCTAATCAAAGACTAGACACCAGTTTGCTGATAGACAGACGTCAGTCATATAATCGATTTGTGACATTATACATATCAAGAATATTACAAATATCTTTATAAAATTTAATAAATATTTTGTTCGTAATAGTATAAACAATTAAGAGATTAAAAGATTAAGAATGTTTTTATTTATTAGCATCATATCATTATCACCAAATAAGTTTACAGTTCGATGCGAGTTTAGCTTTATCACACATCCCACACCTATTAAATTGTTTAATCTACAGTATGGTTTTTATAGAGCGCGTTATATAGTGTCCCACCATGCGACCCTATTTGTCACTACTTGCCACCTTTTTTGCACTTGCATCTTTTGTATGTTATTCAGTACAGTAACTCTCTATAAATGACTTAGATTGTTTTGTAATACACTAGATAAATTATTCGAATATAGCTTTATATGCTTCTCCTAAAAACAAAAATGATCTCTTCCTAAACCACAGAAAGGTTCCAAACTCTCAAGCAGCAGAGCTACTATTTTTTTGTCAGTTCTTCTACAATTTCATTGTCGCAAATTAGACCCAATAGACCTGAAATCTATAGAATCAATATATGATTATTTTGGCCAAGGGGATTCAAAATCTCAAGACCCTTTCACACACACCAGTCATGATTTTACAACTTCATTAACAAAAATCTTCATTTATACTTCACTAGCGTTTAATAAGTTGAGAAAATAAATGAAGACATTTTGTTGCATTTATTTATTTTAAATTAAGTTGTAAAAGAAGCAAATTTCGAATGTAACTATGTGAAAGATAATCTTCTGATAAGAATTGAGATGAGATAATGAAAATAATGCTATACATAAATAATCTCTGTAATTAAAAATAACGTTAGATTTTTATAAAATATCTGATAAAAATTTCTTTACTCGTCATTTAGAACGTTTAAGAATGGGTTTATAGCACAACTTAATATGATATATAAAATAAAATTAGTACACACTTAGTGATTTGCTAGCACCGATATCACGTCATTATTGGATCTTTAACTGTACGACTGTTATAATAAAAAACTGCAAGGAAAGATAAAATATCTTATAAAAATGTTAACATTTGTGTTAAAATTGCAAAAATTAATGCAATAAAAGTCGAAAATGTCATGGAACCTGATGACACCTAAATAGATATCTGCATACGTAAACGAATTAAACATTTGAACGTTATTATGTCTCACATTTAAATACCATCCACACAATACCATGCGCACATTTGTGAAACAGAGAAAATAAATATATATATATATATCAAAATAGTTTATCTTGCAAATATAAATGCAATAAAATAAGAAAAAAAATTTTAAGTATAAAATGAAACCTACCAAAAGTGCAAAACTTTTGCGTAAAGTTTCTTCGCAAAACTTTGAATTAACTTAACTTGATGCCTTTCAAACTTCTAAGAAAATATAAACAATTTTTTTGAAAATATATTCTTCTTAAATTAATTTAATAAATGCAATTCAATATTGTATTTACAAAAAGTTATAGAAAAAAAATTTAGTTCTAATCCAAGCTATTAGCATTTAATGGAGATTTAAGCCACTTGCATTCTTTGGCGTACAATAGATTAGCAGTAACTTTAAGTAAAAACTGTTGAAAATAAAATAAAAAATATATAATGTTTTTTTAAACAAATTAATATTAATAAGCAAATATTAAAAAGAGTTTCTCAACATCATTTACTGAAGTAATAAAATGGATATTGAAATGTTTACATTACTAGATTGGCTTAATTTTCGCTCTATATATTATTTACAGAAATAATTATGTCACAAATCAAGAATTGACTTATATTAAATAGTTTATGTACAACTTTGCACTTTCAACACAAACTCCTTGAGTACACAAGACAACATCATTGTTATTGCAAATTTTTTAGTTTCTCCACTTATATAGCAAAATGTGTTTGCGGTTCTGATTGAGCTTCAGCTCTCAACCAGGAATAAAAAGGAGCAACACAAAAATATAGAAGAAATAAATTCAACAAGAATAGCAATAGTAATAATAGGAACAAAATAATTGGTGAAGAAAAGTTCCGTTATGATGAGAAATCTCTAAAGAAAATCTCTGTGTAAACATTTGCAATGTAAAAATGTTTACAAATCCAATAATGACTAATATGATATCACACGTCTACCTTGTCTATCAAGAATAAAATGTGTTTTCATTATTTTATCTGTGAGACAAACACAGTGAAAAATTCAAATAATATTTCCAAGTCCGTATGACGTAAACACTTTCTATGTTTTATCCATGTTCATTAGCTCTATTCGTCTATACAACTATAACTACTATTGCATTTAATCGATTTATAACAAATCGAATGGCAACTAAACATTAGTAAGAAAATATTGATATTTTTAGGTGCATGATGGCACATCGACTGTCATGTCAACTCTTTTATTATAAATGATAGACCTCAAAAGAACCAATATTCAAAGAAATTTTATTTAATTAAATTTAAAATTAAAAGAAAAAAAACAAATTATTAATATATATATATCCATTTATAAATAAATACGAGATAGATAGAGCTCTTCTATATACGAAGAAGTAAGAAGTGTAAGAAGTCTACGATGGAAAATTCAAAAATAATCAGAAAGTCTGTGTTCTTAAAATTACAAGTAGAGATTATGAGTCATAAAGAAAACCAGCATGACATGATGGTCTTATTCTTATTGCAATACACATTTATACACAAATTAAAATTTACTATTTCGTTATCTTATTATGCTGACGAATTTCATACTCATTTTCTTCATATTCAGAAGAAAGTAACAACATGTCTATAAAATTCACACACTACTATATAATAGTGTAGAAACCATATTATAAGCGACAGAAAACAGATCATTTTTTAATTGTCATCAGTCATCATCATTAGTAATTTCTCTGATTTATTTTGGATCGTAACCTAATGTGATTTAAGATTGAATAAAAATAATACAAATAATAGAACGTAGTGAAATATTTTTCCTTATGTTCTGTAACTACAAAAAGATGTATAGTTCATAACTAAATAGTATATGAATACGTTTTGAATAATAATTTAAATTGAAACACAATAGTTAATTCAAATTAAAAACTCTACAAGCATAACATAACAGTCTTATTTTATCTACGTCCAGAATTATCCAAAACCAGGTTTACGTTGCACAAATATTGAGCACAATCTTTCCAGCATTAGTATTGACCATATACTTGTATACATCAATCCGTATGGCTGGTTTTAATATGCCCATCCTTCTACCCATAATTACGAAATTATTGGTGCTTGCTTAGCTAATTGAGGAGGATTCGTTGCTCCTTATACCATCACCTAACTAACATATCAGACCTGTTGCCTTTTTCTTGTTGTTTTAGCACAGGTAGATCTTATGCTGTTTGGCTGTCAGCTAGGATTACTGCTTGTAGATACAAACAAGTGATTCTGGAACGTAACCTAGCTTCGTATGGTACAACTATAACAAAATCTATAATTGTGAGATCCTAGTATGCTTAAAACGCAAAAATATATAGTTTAGACTAGTGCTGTCCAGAATAGATGCGATCGCAGGTTAATACAACCGTTCATAATTGTTAAATTTAATGCTAAATTTAGTTTTATTAATTTAACTTCATTTATTTGGTATACCATACAAATAAATAATCTAGTTCTACCAGTGCATCAAACAAAATTTGCGTAATTGTGGTAGATTAAATACATGTGGAGGGCCGTGCTTTGGACAGCCCTGGTTTAGACTATACTTCACAGGATCATTTTTGTAGTCAGTCTTCTTTTACTTTAAATGCAAAGTTAAACCAGCTATATAGTTTATTTCTGATTTACAAGGTTCTATTTGTTGCCGAAAGTATAATTAATAAAAATTCAAGTCAATCTAATGAAAATTTTTTATATTTTAATAAAAAAACAACTCCGTTAAGTATTTTTCTATTTGTGTCAAGTGTTTTTTCGAAAATTTTGAAAACAAGTTTCGAGTAATTATATTAAAATATTTTATATTTCCTTATTTATTCGAACTAAATGACAAAAATTAGAACAAAAATCACAAAAACTGCACTCAAATAATTTTTAAGAAATAATCAATAATCGCATTCAGTCATTATAAGATCAGACGGTAGTGAAATTCTTTAAAGAGGACGTAACACTGTACAAGACTAACCTAACATATTTACCGGTACTTTGCCATTTCAATGCAAATAGAAGCCGATCCCACAAAAATAGCTTTTAAAACTATTTCAGATAGCTATTTTTGTTGGGAATAGTTCTATGAACTGTAGAGGATAGCGCTCATTCAGCAAAATATGCTGGCGTCACAATATCCAGATTGTCTTATTTACAATTAAAATTTAAACGTTTAGTATAAAAAGAGCATAACACTTAAGTAGCTAAGTGAAGGATCTATAAAGGATCTATAAAGGATCTATATCCTGGAGTCACTCGTCGAGTTCGGCGGGTTAAAACAACAACAGAAATTGACACAGTGGAACGTTTATAATTGCAGTTCCTATTGACTATATCGAAATTAATTTAGCAGTTTTGGATATTCATTAAATATACAACTTTATGTGTTCGAAACACTTTTTTTTTACTCTTAATCTAACAATAACTATAACTTTCTTAATTTAAAAAAAAAAAAAAAAAAAAAAACAAATTAAAAAATGTGTAAAAAAAATGTTAACGTCATCCTTTTCGAAATGGTACTACGATGTATCATAAAGTAAACATCGTACTTTTCTATTTAATATAATTCCTACAAGAACATAACCACCAAATACAATAAACTGTTATTTAAAGGAATTTATTTAGTTTTATTGCTAATTAAAGAAAATCTTACCTGTTTGCTTGCAGCAAATAAATTTAAAAATATCACAGTAAAATATAAAAGTTGAAGCGGTATCGATGTGGTAAAACGGAGTGACCTTGTGCCTGTCATGTTTATATTTTGGGTGCCGTACCACTGTAATGCCCTTCGGAATGTTTTGCCGCCCTTGTGTTTACTTCACAAAAGGTCTTTGCAGTTGTTTATTATAAATTTCGCTATCACCCGAAACTGCCCAACGACGTCTAGGCTGTGGCTATGCGTAAGTTATGCTCACTCAGAAATGCAAAAACTAGTCAATGTGCTTCGATGTGCATGCAATATATGCGGCGAGTTGCTTTGTTGCAATATTTTTCTTACGATGTTCGAAGTGGATTTTATGGTTACTCTACAATGGCAGCTTACTCTAGCAGCCGCTACTTCCTCAACACAAGTGCAACAATCGGTAATTTGCTTTTACGAACAAATCAGCAAAGGTCTTTCTACATGTATTGGATAATAGCAACAAAACCGATGCGATTTCACAAACCGATGCACGTCGTATATTTAAACGATGATATGACGTCTGAATGAGTAATTTAATAAGTTCTATTTATTAACAGTGATTTTCTTTAGTTTGCTTTATTTAATATTTTGTTTAAAGCAGTTATTTTTTAAATGTATTACTTATGCATTATTTTATGTTAAAAACTGATTGTACTTGCACTGGCATTGGAAGTGTTTTGCATATTGTTAAAGTTTATTTCTTCCAATATATATATACAATATAAATATATGTGCATAAATATATATGTATATAAAATATTAAATTATATTTGCGAAGACTTATTCGTTGACCAAAAATATTTATAAAAGATTTCGCATACAATTTTCTCAAAATATTAATTTTTCTTTGCACGAAACAATTTAAAAAAAATCAATAAATTTCACTTCGTCTTCTAATAGCCGAAAGTTATCAAAAACACAATTAATAAAAAAAATGTATAGGTATTGTTGAAGAAACTTAACGAATTTTATTTGTTTGTTTGAATTTATATTACTAGTAATTTTAAATATCGTTTTATTCCACAAGAACGCACTTTTGCCTTAACCACCGAACAAGCGCGTAAAACAAACCACCCGCAGCATTACTGAACAAATAATAATTTACCACTAAAGTTAGGACTTTTATTGTTAGATATGTTTCACCTCTGTCATTTTCCACTTCATTCGAAGTATAAGCAAAAAAATGCAAAACAAATGTCTTTCCTCTTCTTTTTATTGGGCAAATTCACAATAGAAGCCCCAATAATTTTTTAGGAATATTTTTTTTGTTTTGTCATGATTTAATTTATAAAAATTATTCACAATATCGCAATACAAAATTAATTTAAACTTTATTTTATACAACTTTTATTATATAGGCCGTGTGCGAGTTCAAATAATTTGAGGTAAAGTAAATTGAAATTTCCGAGTTATTTTTTGCACTACAATTATGCAAATACTTATTTATTTATATATTGCACTTATATATTATTTTGGGTTTAAAGTTTTCAAACTAATTTATTTATTTATTAAACATCTTATACAATTTCCACAATGGCAACACCTAATTTACCTAATATTTATCTAATTTACCCTACTCGAAATTCTGGTTAATCTAAAATTCGGTGCCATTCCGATATAATTTACTATTTCCCTCAATTTACCATCAATTTACCCGAACTCGCACACGGCCATAGTCCTAATTAAAGCGAATTTTTGTATTGAATCACATTGTTTTCAATTTTATTTTGTAGTGAACTTTCTTTCTTTTTTTAATTTTATATAATAGAATTATTCCTTTTTTGAATTTTACTTAATAGAATTAAACTATTCCTAAAATAATCACTACGCAAGTCTTAAAAACACTTTTAAAACTGATTTTAAAATTAGTTTTTAGTGTTTACGTACAATAATTAACATTACTTTTAAGATAGCTGTCAATCAGTCAGCTGTTAAGCGGTAAACACAAAAGTTGATTTTAAACATTTTAAAAATGGATCGAATAAAACTATAAATTTTTTTACATTTATTACAAAAAAATTATATTGTAACCAAAGTAGCAGGACAAAATAATAAAACAACAATAAAGAGTTTAGGAATATTCCACATAAAGTTTAAAAAATTACGAGAAATGCGATTTCAACTCTTAAAATGGCGATACATCCGTCAGCCAGTCCATTGGCTCAGTATTTCATGAAGTGTGTCCTTTCTTGCTATCCAACAATTTTACTATTTCTTTTTCCGCAAATACTTTAATGTAATACCCTTCCTCTTCTTTCATCCAATATCCTTTTTTTCTCCATATTTTCAGCTTTTTTTTGCCAACAGTGTTATTTGTAAAAAAATTCAAATACCTATTAACAGTCAACAGCTGACAATTCAAACCTTAAACTGCTTTTAAGGTGTTTACGCAATGTTTAAAAGTGGTGTTTCTTACTAAAAACGATGTTGAACTGTTTTTAGTAAGCTTAAAATGTTTTTTTAGCAAAATTCAGTTTAGTGTGTTTACGCAACCTTAAAATCGATTTTAAGAGGCTTAAAACAACTTTTAAGGCTCGTGTAAAAAAGGTAAATCAAAATCTTTGTGTTTCGTATACTAATATATATTTAAAATATAAAATTAAAATAAATTTCTCCATTAATAAAGGAGTAAAATCTTTTAATTTTTATTAATTCATATAAAATTTTATTTTTTTTTTATAAGTGTGTTCGGACGCTCCAAAGTGCTGTAAAACACAAAAAGTCTGAGGTCTCTTACTGATATATTGACACAGAATAGCAATCTGTCAAATATCATGTTATCACAGTAAGCAAGTCTTACGTACTTATCCAAAACCTAAATCAAACTAAATTTTGCATATATAACAAGCTATATGGCTTGGTATACTTGTCGCACCATGAGGGATTTCTTTCGTATGACATTTCATAAAATTAAATTAACTTTGATGCACGAACAAAATAAATAAAATATATTTTGGGTTTGTGAATGAAAATACCATGTTATATTATTATTAATGTTATGTCAGACATAAATTTGACCCAGTTATATCATATGTTTCATAGCATGCGATAAAAATGTCAGATATCTATATTATGACATAAAAATGTTTATGTTATGATATAAAAATGTCAATAGTCTCAAAAAACTATTTATAGCTTGTGTTAAGGGTAAAAAGGATTGTTAGTATATCCTGTAATAATTTTTCTTGCTTACACAAAAAAAAAATTTTATGTTTAAGACACAATTACTTCTCAATTAATTCAAGAAGTTTTATAAACGCGCATAAAATATAATAATACTTGTTTATTATCGGGTTCATATATCAATTATAATTTTGTTTTAATATGTCTCCTGTTACCACATCAAAATCGTTAAAATTTTTTCCAATGTAACTCTGAATCATAATAACATCAATTATTTTTGTGTACGATCGAGTCTGTCAGTCCTCTGGCTGTAAAGTCGGCTTACACACACACACACACACATATATATATATATATATATATATATATATTTATATACATATACTATATACATAAATCTATTATATATATAGTACGTAGAAATGTACATAGTATATATATTTATAATACTAAAATTTTATTTCCTGCACATCAGCACGAAGTTTTCGCATTAAGTTTCTTGACATAAAAGTTTTATATTTTAAAATAGTTTATATAAACACATAAAAACACAAAGACGTAGTAACGTGGATTTAAATGATTTTATAATGATTTTATAAAATTTTTGTGAACATCATTTATTTTTTCCAACATAACTACAAGTATGATATCTATATAACCTTAATACAAATTAGTAAAACGATATGGCAGCACAATTAAAGTTAAAACAGAATAACTGTTTTTGGTTCAAAACAAAATAAAAGGACGCATATTTACGTTGCTAAAATCGAAAGCTGCGTAAATAATAAAATGTCTTCCCATTAAATTTCGTAGAGCGTTAAAACATATATTTTTTTAATAAAAGGAAATCATTTTCAGTTAAATAGTGCACCAGGGACAAGATGTAAATAAAACTTCTTCATTATTTAATCGTACTTGATCGTAATTTGTTAATTTTTAGAGCAGTCTATAATTAATGATGGATGACTTAATAGATATTGAGGAGCAGTTAGCTTCAATGTCTATAAATTCCAAAAACGTAGCAAACAAATCAAACGGTGGTATAGAAAATATGGTGAAAAAAGAGAACTCACTCAGTGAAAACATTGGACGCAGAATAATGGATGCATCTGATTTGATCCTTTCTAGTATTGCAACTAAAAAGAAGGTGAGATGCGGTGTATGTTCTCTTAAGCGTTTAGGTAATAATCGTAATGAAGTAAGTACTAAACGCTCATTGAAACATAATGCGACGCGCCGAAGTTTGTTTAGTGAACCAAAAAAAATAAAATGCATAGATGTCAATGGTAACGCATTTAACAAAACCAAATGCATCGGTGAAGCATCATCACTTGGTGTTGTGTTCAATTGCTGTAATCCTGAAGCATATAAATGGTCTGAACATGATCTTACACCAATTTCGGATGCTGAAAATTTTGGTAATGCATTTAACAAAACCAATTGCATCGGTGAAGCATCATCACTTGGTGTTGTGTTCAATTGCTATAATCCTGCAGCATATAAATTGGCGGAACAAGATCTAACTCTAATTTCGGATGATGCACATTGCGAGAGTCACACCAAAACTTCAAAGATGGATGTGCATTACTGCAATTAAAATTCTGTTTTTGAAGCATAAATATTTTTTTAATTTTTGTTATGACAAAGACTTTTTTTTATTATACATTTATATTATCTTAATGTTTCGTGTTCGTAAAAATATGTTCGTAAACTTTTTAGCATTGTATGTTCTCATAAAATAACAATTAACGAAAGATTAACTTAATAATTTAGTGATTTTGACCTTATGCAATAATCCTTTTAAAACTTACTATTCAACTAAATACTGCAGGAGCAGCTAAGTCTACACCCAACAGTCTATCGTTTACGACGACTAAGTGCTTTTGTTGTTATTGTAGTGCATGGAAATCTACTGATATAACTCTTTTTTGGGAATGGTGAATGGCACTTTGTCGTCAAAATTGACAAGTAGCTCCGAGACGTACACGCGACTGCTCTTGAAACCAGCAAATGCTCTTCACTATTGCTGTTGGAGTTTTGATTTTTAAAAAAACAATGAAATGATACGGGTTTTAATCATTCAGCTAAACTAATTTAAACTGAGGTTAAAACAAATTAGGAATAAATAGCTGGTCTATTAATGATGTTTCAGGTAAGAAGATTATATACAAAAAATTATGAAAATTTTAATTAACTTTTCTTTTTGTTTACAGAAACATATCAATAAAATCTGTACACATACGTATCTAAATTGTATACATTAGCTTGAGTAGTTGCATAAAATAAGTATCTTTTTCTGTAATGTTCGATTTAAATTAAATAATAATTCTTTTAAAAACAAAGTGTAATAAATAGTTAAATTTTTTTGATTAGCTATGAATTTTATTATAACAATATATAATAGTTTTAATAACAGTAAGATAAGCTCAATACTCGTCTAGTTATAGAATTCACTCGAATACATACTTATGGATTTTGAAGTATCCAAGAATATGGATCTCATTAAGAGATGTTAGTTCACTAGCTGTAAATTAATGTGTAATATATTTGATTCCTCATCCTACATATGATATTAAACATATTTACTTCTTAAATTCCCACCAACTTCAACATATCAACTGCCACTCATAGCAGTGATGTTGATATTAAAAACTAAAAGCAACATTTATTTTTCATAATTTACGCTCATCATGGTGTGATACACGTTAAAACCTGTTGAATATATCAAAGCCGAAATAAAGAAAAACTTAACAGTGTTAGCAAAGCGAGTGTAATAAAGCTTGTGGTGAAAATATCGTATGTGTTTTACAGAGTCTTAGGAATAATATATTTAGGCAACCTATTCTATAGATGCGAAATAAAAATGTTAAATTTAAATAAATTTTAGTGATTAATTCACTAATTAATTTTTAGTGATTAATTCACTAATTAATTTTTAGTGATTAATTCAAAATGGACCGTCAAGCAATTAACCTCGGTTCCAGGGGCGGCGTAGCGCTCATTTCTTATTACAAGTTTGCATTGTTGAAAGTGCGTATTATTCAATAATATTGTCAATTGTTTTTTAAGTAGTAACAATAAAAGTTGCAATTTATTTAGTTATAATTTGTTAAACTATGTTACAATAACAAAATAAATTTGAACATAAATTTTAAATAATATTTATTTATAATTTATATAATGTAATATAATATATAATATTTGATATGTAGAATGACACATATCAATTTAATTCAGATACACTGAATTAAATTGTCAAAAACAAAATTCAATATAATTATGGACTTTTACTTATTCAAATTTATAATAATAGTAAGAAATATTATTGATAACTTCAAATAAATAATTATTTAATATATATTTTTACATTAATTAAAAAACCGAAGACTCTAAGTAAATCAACATTAAATAAGAAACTATTGAGAATGGAGCAAAATTAAGGGCAATAATTACGAATATTAAAAACTATAAAAAAAGCAACCCTTATCCAATTTAAATTTTCTAAATATAAATTACTTATAATTAACATAATTATAATTATGTTGTTGCAGAATTAATTATCCACATATTGTGGATTATATTTATATAGATATGAACATAAAACTTAAATAAATAAATTAAGATGCTTATTAAGGAGAAGCTCCGGTTCGTAAACCATACTTGTAAATATTTACAATTATATTTAGCTGTAGAATAGAATACAAATTATTAAGATATTAATCAGAAATCCTTACTATATTTAATAGTATAATATAACTACATTTATATATTAACTATATTTTATTAAAATATATTAATATTTTATTAAATAAAATGTATTAACTATATTTTATTAGATAAAATATGTTAATATGTATATTAAATATGTCATTACATAAAATATATTAATATACATCATTAATATATGAAATATATTTTATTAAATAAATATTTTACTAAAAAGTTGTAAACTATGGATTTCTCAAGTGAAAATAACGTTTTGTGCTCTTCGCATTATAAACTTAAGGAAAAAAAATTGTTTTAGTAGAAATGTAAGATACTCTTTTAAGCCCTCTTGTGCCAAAAGGTTCCAATAACTTATATTCTATTCACACTTCAATTTTATAAGTGTATTAGCATATTTTTGTTTGTATTTCATATCAAAAATTACATTTATTTTAATCATCGACTAAACAACATTTTCTTTAAAATCTATCGATTAATTGCGATTGTTTAAACTATATAGTATTAAAAACTATAATTTAAGCATTATATCTCCTCGTGGATCTCTAAGCATTAATTCAATATAGACTGTTTATTATTTATTTTAAAATTTATTACCAATTTTAGACATCTGATACCTATTAACATTTATCACTCAATTATTTTTGTAATAAAAATATTCCCCTTGGGCGCTCATGTTTTATGTATTTACTACATCATTAATGCTGTTTGCATTTTTATAAAACGTAATGAGTCATGAAATGAGTAAATAGTAAATAAATATTTGAACAAGCAACAAAATATATTCTAATATTTTCAATGCATAAATCTACCCTTTGCTTTTTATTTTAGATAAAAACATGATATGAACTGAAGCTTATAAGCTCCCCAAAGCGCGCATGACGCCGCTGTTTTACAAATTCACCAAATAAAGTGCAAATGTACATACATACATACATATATATTTAAGAACGTCTGGTGTTTAACTGACTATCCTCTTAACAATACAAAAACAACATTAAAAATATTCTACGCTTGAAACTGGTGGAAACGTATTACACACCATATATGAGTTTATTGGTTTTGGTAGAGGTAGAGGTGGTTGCTACTACAACAGTAGTGTTGTTGTTGCCGCTGCTGGTGTTGTTGTTGTCTATGTGGGCATACAATGGTATGGTGTGTATGAAATTGTTTGCAGTCACATTGGCTTTAACATATTGTTAGCTGGCAGAACGTTTCAGATGAGTGCGCGAATAAAACGTGAAACAGCGGTTATTATTTGTTCTGTGTGTGTGTTTTTTTTTAATTTAACTTTGGTATACTGCACGGCTTTTGATAAATAATTCCAGTTACTTAAAGCTTAATGCGTTATTATTTGTTTTGAGTTTTATCGTTTATTGCCATTTTGTATTATTAACAAAAAATTTGAACAATGTTAATTTAATAGCCAAAACAGAGACTTTATCCTATCATCAACAACAATAGTACAATAACTCGAAATACAGTAAGAATAAGTAAAAGCTGAAAAACGGGTCTATAACGTAATACTTACAAAGCCGCATTTACGTCTCAGTACGCCATTCATGAAAAGTGTTAGTCATCATTTCTAACAAAGGCTTGTGCTTTGTGCTTTCGATTGAGCTTGGTTTGAACGCACAAAGTGTGTACAAAGAAAAAATTAAAAAGCAAAATATAATTTAAAAAAAAACATGTAAATTCTAATTTGGAAAACAATATGAGAAATTATTTTAAAAAATATAAAATATAAAATCAAAAATTAATACAAATAAAATTGTGTGTAAATAGCACAATAGCAATTTTCGTTCATACGTTTATATAGTGTGTGTGTGTGTGTGTGTGTGTTTTAAATCGCATATCTTCTAACGTTACAGTGATGATTGATGTGTAAACAACGACAACCTCATACATATAACCGCAAAGCCAACAACAAAACAACCAACAATATTAACATTGAAAATTAATTGGACTGTGGAAACAAAGTAAAATTGGTAAGTATATTTGCATTGTGTGTTTTTTGTTGTGTGCTCTGTGTGTTTTATCATAATCACAATAAACGTCCTAACTATGGTTTTATGCTTAACCCACAAGTATCTGCAACTGCTGACACACTTAACCTTGTATGAACTGAGAGCTGAGAACTCACAAATGAAACAAAAGTGTGCACGAACAAAAGAAAACGGAGATTTCCCTTTGGCATGGAAATGCTACACAATTAAGCCAAGTTTCGATAACTGCAACAACAGTGCTGCCTACGGCATGTGCTTATTTTTGGCAGGGGCAGAACCTACATTTTTTTCTTTTTGTAATGTTGAGTGGTATTGCGAAATAGCACTCTTTTAAAAATTGTGCAATGTAGCAAATTGTGTCGTGCCACATGCATTTACCATGATTCATAAAAAATAAAATTAATTAGAACTTACTGCTTGTTTTTGGTATAAATATATATAGTTTATATTAAGGAAATATTTAGGCTCACATGTGTGTGACTCTAGGTACATTATTCAAACCATTAAAAAAATAATATTAAAAAAATAATTAGCTATATAATTTATGTGTACATAGGCATTATAGGCATTATTAAACCGAGGCTACCAGACTACCAGTTTAAGTACTACCACAAAAAAGTCTGAATTTTATGTCGATTTTTCTCACTTCAATCATCTCTGATAAGCTATCTAGATTAAGTAGTAAAGCTTAATTAAAATTTGATTATGTTATTAGTTCGACCGTTCATAGTATACTAAATCCACAAAGAAGATATCCGTTCAAGTCTTTGTCTGAGGGGAACTATCTAGATAAAGTAGCAAACTTTGATTGAAAAGAAAATCTTTTATTAGTTCAACCGTCCACAGTATACTAAATCCTCAAAAAAGCTATCTACCATATTTTTTGTCTGTGGATATCTATCTAGATTAAGTAACAAACTTTGTTTAAAAATTAAACCTTTTATTAGCACGACTGTCCATAGTATAATTAAATTTTTGTCTGAGTAGAGCTATTTAGAGTAAGTAAAATATCTTGATAAAAAAATAAACCTTTTATGAGGTTAACAAACGCAATGAAAGTGCGAATGTTCTAGCTAAAAAGGGAGCAAAAACACCTTTCGAAAACCCGAACCCTTTTGCGGTGTTAATAACAGTTTCAAAACCAGTCTAGTAAGTGAAAGGGAATAACAAATCCTAACTGACTTCTGGAGAGCCTAAAACGACATGCGGCAATTGACACGGCTTTTTGTCCATGAACATATAAAGGCTGAACCTGTTCTCAACTTAAGCAGAACAGATGTCAAACTCTACACGAAACTGCTAACAGGCCACTATAGACGGCGGCACCATCTGAAAAAGATTGTTCTAGCAGAAAATGATTCTTGCCGGTTCTGTCAAGAGCAACAGGAAACAGCAGTACAAGTTCTATGCGTCTACCAAACCATAGTTCACAGTTTACTAAGTCCTCAAAGAAGATAACTACATGATATATGTATATATATCTATGCGTTTAACCCTCAAGGGCCTGAGTGTTTTTTTTTCTCTGCCTGTTTAGTTGTGATACCATTTATATTATAACTTGATAAGGCAGAGTATCTTTGCTTTTTCTTCTTTTTGATATAACTATTTATCGAATTGAATAGCTAAAATTTTCTTTAATTACTATACTTATTAAGTACCGATGTCATTTTTTTTGTATATACTCTCTAACAAGAAGTAAAGCTGTTTTGAATTCATAGAACTATGTAGTAAACTTTGTACCTTAACTTTAGCATAATCTTTGGACCGGTTCAGTACTGATACCATTTATAATTTTGTTTCAAAATTTGTATCATCTGATTTTTTTTCTTCATTTTGCTATAACAGTTTGGAGGACTTTATACTTTCAGTTAAATGGGTTTTTAAGTTTTGTAGTACCAAAGTCAATCACATTCTTGCTTCAATCGGTGACAATAAAGTAACAGTATCAGTGCATCTATGTTACTTGCACAGTTCTTTGCATCTATATATTTACTGGCTAATCATTTTTCAAGAAGAAGACTGTTTCAAATACGTTAAAATATGTAAGTAAGAAATATCTATGTTATAAGATAGAAAAATGTATTTTATATATCCATTCAGGGAAAATTTAGAAGGAGATGTCTTTGATAAAATGAGATAATTATGTATTATATCATTATAGCTGGGTAATGCTTTGAACATTTTGATGTTCAGGGATACTTACTAAGCGTTTACATTAACGAGACTTAGGCAAGATTTTAATGTTCGAATGCAAATGCGTATTACTATATATTCGAATTTTATGTGCGAATAATATTTTATATGTTTTGGTGAACAAGTTAAAGTGTATGCAGAAATCTTACAAAAGTTTATTCAGTGTAAACGCAGATTTCCGTTTAGCAAACCCTTCGAAAATATTTGAGCTTCATATTTTATTCGAGAACTTGTCTAACGCAATACGAGAATATAATGAAATTTAAAGTAGATTCGCTTTTCGAGCAACTTGTACATTTTCGAACATCAAAAATGTTCGATCCAAACATTAGAATTCGATTATACTGCAGTTTTTCAAACATGGTAATACTCGCATATATTAAAGTATGACTACAAAACCTATTGTGTCTATTCTTTCTATAGAACTAAATATACAGTTTTTTTTAGAGAAATGAAATTTTTTTATATTAACTTAATTTAAACACGTTTTATAATTGAATGTTTAAAAGTATATAACAGGTTCTTATACGTACGTTGTTGCTTATAATCGCAATTAAATCAAACCATTAACTGATGCTTAGCATAGTTTTTTGTTCTGAACTGTCATTATTATTCTATCATATATTTTATGCTGCAACAAATACAGAGATATATCTCCGAATTTTATATAATATTTTATTGGATTTTTTGGCTTAAATGAGATTTTAAAAATCTTGATTTAGTAATTTAAATTATATTTATAAGTCATTGGTTTATTTATAAACAGTTAGTTCTATGATTTTTTGTAAATTTCTTTTTTTAGATCATTATCTATCGTAGTAGAGACATGTGTCTAGCAATACTTTAGGGCAGGGCTATGGCCAATTACGGAAATTTTCTCTTGATATATTTTGTTAAAATTACATTATTTTATTGGCCTACCATATACAAAAAAAATTCAAATTAATAAATTAATAAAACTAAATTTAACATTATTACTGTATCTCCAAAAAACCATGGACGAATGTGCTTCTACAGCCCTCTGCACTATAATTTGTATTGGCCCGCGAACGTATGTGGTTTGGTCTGCTTTAGGGTATTATATTAACAAATACAATTATCAAAATTAAAATAATTAGATGAATTCATAAGCTATAATAATTTAAAATTTTATCTATGATAATTTATATATTTATAATATATTATATGCGCACAATAGATCTTTTAGGTCGGTGTGCTTTAATAGCCTATTACTTAATATATTATATATTTATAATATATATTTAATAAAAATGTATTTGCAAATAAAACTAGTAAAGGCAATTTATAAGTTCTTTCGTCATCACTTCCAACCTGTTTCTAGCGATATTAATATATTATATATAATAATATTATTATTAGTTCCTTGTCTATTTATGTATGAACATAGAATAATACAAGTATTACTACTAATAATTTTATATGCATTGGCGTTCCCACCAACCAAAATTATAATAATTTAAAATCAGTTTCAATAAATAATCAGTTCAAAACTTTCATAATGCAAAAGTATACTTATTGGTCGAATGTTATACTATCAATTGACGACTATATACTTTGGCAACATATATTTTAATTCAGAAACTGTCCAAAATTAGAGCTAAAACTGTTATTCACGTTTCTTTTAAGCTTAAAACGGAAATTAAGAAATTATCACGTTTTTAACACACCCACGTTTGAGCACAAATATCTATTCAAATAATAGGCTAAGATTTTTATGTATCCGGGGAAGAAAGTGAAACCATAAAACTAATTTACTATAATTATTTTATTAAATAATGAATAATAAATACAAAAAAATTGGATTTGTGATTGTGAAAAAAAATGTTTTATTTTCTATGTCCTTCACACTAATATTCAAACTAATGGTTATATTTAATAAGTTTGTAACTTTTTTACAAGGCTATAAAACAGATATCTCGTTAACCAAATAATTTGTGGCACCCGTATTAGAAATAATAATTTAGCCTTGTAGAAACTTGTAGACAGACGGGGTCTACAAGTTTCTAGTGAAACTCGATTCTCAATTTTTGGTAATTAGCTTAAAATTTGCAATTTAGGAATTTATATGTGAACCATTTTTATTTCAACCATAAAGAAGTTTATGTCAGAGACAGTTATCTGAAATAAACTTAAAAAAAAATATATATTGATACAACTTTCTAATACGGTTCAAGTCCATCTGCTATAAATACAACTAGATATATAAAATATTTCAAATCATTTGTAAAAATGAAACTATATAAGAGGTTATTCCATATGTAAGAAGAGTACTAAACTTTAGTACATCCTATTATTATTATTTTTTTTTTTGTCATTCATAAAATATTTATATATACCGGTTATTTCCTTACAAAATACCATAAATACAATAAGAAATTTCTCGGTCCAAGAAACGGAAAAAAAAATTGGACTTTAGAGGGAAAAAGATCCATTTTCAATATTTACCTATATACAGAGTGTCTAAAAATTTGCACTCGTAAGTCTTAGTTCATTAAATATTCTTCAATTAGATATCTAACAGTTGTTTACACCATAAGTTTATGTGACAAATTTATTTAACTTTAAATCGATATAAAAAAATTGTATACATTCTGTCATTAGTATAAATAAAAACTAATAGACGGACAAGACTAAGGTCGTGTGCGAGTTAGGCTAAGTTGCGTTCTAAATAAGGGAAATTCTAAGTTGTGCCGATAATATAGTGGTGTGTCGATACGTGTTGATAAATGGCTAAAAGTGTGCAGTGCAAAAAATCCCAAAAAATCTCC